CCAATATTGAAGAAGTCCAAATAATAATATAGTATATTGTATATACAGAGAGTATCGTCAAATAGTCTATAGTATTTGGTATCGTGGAGTACACGATCAAAGAATATATGTAGCAGTGTTACCAGTAGCTGGGCATGAAAGGATGCACCGATGCACCTCCCTCTGTCAAAAACGTCAAAAATTATGCGATTTTGTACAAAATTATGCGCTCTGTTATAAAACGTACAAATCATCAACAAACCTTATTCTTATGTCACACAATGTATTGTGTTATGTCATTACTGTCATCTGTCACGTCCTGTCAGTTGTCATTGTAAAGACCGTATCACACTACGCATTTTCTTGTATCATTTCTTATATCGTTTCTGATATAGGAAGTTATTTATGTTTTCTTGTATCTATGTATATAAAATTTTCTTCGATAAAGTAATTTCTATTTGCTATAGAGAATGCTGTGTCATAGAAGAAATAACAATTTTGTTGGTTTAGTTTACCGAAAGTACAAGCTTTCACTTCACTTCGTCTTTTTGGCTTGCATACAAGTGCATCCGTCAGCACATTTCTTGTGTGTTGCAGTTTGTCTTGCTCTTAGCAATACTGCAGCACTCTTCTATAAAAAAAAGAAGATTACATAAATAGTGTTTTCTTAAACCATGAAAATACGATACGATGGCAGTTGTCAGTTGACGCAAAGTGGCGTAATATTATTCTTCATCTCCATGGACCATGCATGAGGTATGAGCAGAGAACTAGTTCGTATGTTCTCTGACATAACCTCATACCTCATGGTACAATAAAATTCACAGAGAGAGTTTATTGTACCATGCTCATACCTCATGCATGGTCCATGGAGATGGAGAATAATATTACGTCACTTTGCGTCAACTGACAACTGCCATCGTATCGTATTTTCATGGTTTAAGAAAACCAGAGATATGTAAGAGAGGGGATATGACACAAAGGATATTTCTGTATTTACTAAATGGGACCACTTATTTTGACAATATGCACTCTCCAATATGGCGACGGGCAGGTCCGGATTCAAATTAATTCCAACTGTATTTTTACTATTTACTGTTTAGTTTGGGAATAAGCATTAAGTTATGTTAATAATAGTTATTTGAAATAAAATTACTTTCATTTTTAGTACTTTTCAAGTACACTTTAATAATAATAATAAAATTTATTACAAAAAATGTACAAAACCAGTTAATGATATGGTTTTAAAATTATAACATTTACATTCAAGTAATAAACAACAATAAGCAAGTGCACTTACATAAGTTTATATACATTTAGATGTTACTTCCATGTACAATTAATAAAATTAGTAATTGTGTATAGGTAGGTGATTAAAGAATTGTTATATCTGCATGCAAAGATCCTTTTTCCAGTAATGCGAGCCTACGATAAGGGATATTATAGTTAAAATTATCTTTTCTAGTGTCAAAGTCGTGAGATATGTTAAACAGTTGAAAGTACCTACTACTTTTTAGCTGTTGCAACTGTCAACAATGACTAACTCAACAGGCGATTGTCGATATAGACCTTAAAGTTTGAGACCCTCATCCTATGTATAAAGCTGGTACAAAAGCTAGCTCACAATATGATGTTATATCGAGCCCTCGAATAAAAATTAGAAAAATGAAAAGACTTTATTATATTGATGTTAAAAATTTTTATAAGAATTTTAAACAATATTTTTATTTTATTTTTTTTTTAAACAATTTGAATTCAAGAACTAGTTTTCTACTACTGTTATCACACAATTTATTATTATTACACATAAGCAAGGGCAGAGAGATAGCTCCCTATTATAATCAAACACAAAGAAACTACATAAGTGACCTACCAGTAGATACCACAAAAATCCACAAGGAATCTACATTCCTGTAGTTGGCTGTATACCATATGTTTGTAAAAGGTATATATTTAAAAACCCAAACGGGCTATGTTAGACAAAACGTTTTCGGAATCCATATTCCGTCATCAGTGTCCCAAAAATTGTATAACCACTTAATTAAAAAGAACATGAAGTTTAAATTTTAACCAAGGTTAATGCAAAGTGTACATGAATGTAGCCACTAAATACATGGGTAAAAACCCGTTAACAAATAATTAGTTACATTTGGTTTACATTATTTCTTATAAAATATTAAGATGTTTAATAAAATTTCTCCACCTGCTAAATTTACCGTTGGATTAGGTAACATGGCGACATATGACTCCACTTGAAGTTGTTAGTGCTGAGACGGTGTGTCTACGAGGACTTTATGGAAGTAACTGATTGAAATGACAATGTTGACAAGTTAGGACGGAAGTCATAACAGAGCAGTCAATATAACTGTATGTGTCTACTTAAGACAAAAGTCAACGTTATTTAAAATTGTTAAAGTAAAATAAATTAATATAACAGTATCAACCATCAATATTGTTGTTTTAAAATTATGTATATAAGATGAACTGTGGAAAGAAAATTATCTGGTTATAGTCAGGCAACCAACTATACATGTGTGCAGTAGTGTTGTGAAATAGAGATTTTAATATAAGGCTTTTTATGTTTCTTCAACATTTGGTACCTAGAAAATAGAAACTAGACACATGTGGGAAGTCAACTTCCCACATGTGTCTATATATGTTCCCTATATATTGAACAAAATTTATAAATATTGGAAATAGTTAATATTCACCTTAATAACAACCAACCTTAATAATTCATCAAAGAAATATCATTCTTCTAACGTTTCTTTTATTGCTATTTTTGTGTTTACTCCCAAAGTCATTTTAAGTTTTTTATTATATTACTGTGACTAACGTGCCTAAGAAAATTTAATCATGACATTTATTACATACTTCAATGTCAATTTTTATATGTGAAATTTTTAATTTCTGTAAGTGTTTTTTAAATGTATTTGTACGCCATTTTTGTAATGGTTTTACATTGTACTCCTGATGAAGCTAGAAAATAAATAGCGAAATATTCTTTAGAAAAAACAAAGATTTTTAATAGAGACCACTATACCTGATAATTTCTACGTGTTTATAAATTATTTTTTAATTGAAATCACTTGTAATATATATATATATATATATATATATATATATATATATATATATATATATATATAATATACAAACAATTTGCAACTATAATAGAAAACGATCCAGTCTATTTTTAAACATGTTGGTAGAAGGGGCCGATACAATGTTATCACTAAGGTTATTCCAGCTCTAGAAAACTCTATTTGGTAGAAAGTTCTATCTTGATCTTGTAGAAAAATTCTCTTTTTTTAAGTTTAAACTGGTGACTTCTGAAGCGTTCTTCTTGATTTAAGGTAAGCATTTCGTACTCTAATTTTTGAATTATCCTGGATATGTAGCACCTGTATGAAAAAACAAAACAGTAAATATCAGAATATCAAAGATTTAATAATACGTATATATATATATATATATATATATATATATATATATATATATATATATATATACATTATATATATATATATTATATATATATATCTTTTTTCTTACTCTTATATATATATATATATATATATATATATATATATATATATATATATATATATATATATATATATATATATATATATATATATATATAATATATATATATATATATTATAGGTTTAGAAAAAGGAGCTTTCTTAATTTAATAAATTAGTAGTTTAAGATATATCTGGTATTAATTAATATACAAGTATGTAAATGGTGTGAATCTTAAGTTGACTGCATTTGAAAACATATTTTATAAAAATGTTATTCATAAAAAGTCCTGAAACTTCATAAACCTAAAATACCATAACATATATATAAACCTTCATTTTGTACACAAAGTAAGTAGCTTTATAAAAAAAGAGCATAAATCATATTTTGAAAGGCAAAGAACTGCTGCTGTTACATCAATAAAAAATGTCAAATAGTACATATTTAAAGAATGGTCTAAACAAAAATGTGTTTAATTAAAAACTAGTACTTTATATAAAATATCAAGAACCTTCTAGTTGAAATCTCTTTGTTCACACCTATACAAACTTATTTATTTGCAAATGAAAGCAAGTGAAATGTACAATTGAAGTTGTATACAAAAGTACTGTGTAATGTCCAGGTGTAATTCAGAATATTACCTACATTATTTTAATAACCTACTTCATTTATAAATATTTATTGTTAATAAATATTTATTAATAATAATAATTATTTATTGTTGTTATAATTATTGTTACCTGAGATTCACCAATTGTAGCAATTGCAATCTCACGCAAACGGACAAAAGCTAATGAGGTCCTATCTATACAGTCCTCCGCAAAATGTTTGGAACACAATTTGCTATGTTTTGAAGGTCCCCAGTTCTCACACTATTTACGAACTGTATCCAGGCATTTCTCCTTTCAACATCTTTAGGAAATCTACAACCACATAAACCAAATTAAAAAGATTACCTGTTCTTATTACTCGCAGCATCACTAAAAACGGAAGTAATACCGCCCTGTACACTGTTTACAATTTCATACTAACCCATGAAAAGATATTCCAGTTAAATTTTTCTTATTATTTCGACTGTTATTTAGACACAAAACAAAAGCACACGAAGCCATAATGGTTTCACTTAAAATAAACGTAAAACCGTACAAAATTAAGTTCAAAATATTTTTAAAATTAAATTTCTATACACAGAAGTCCTCGACACAAACAACAATCTGTCAGACACTCTCCAATATGGCGAACCGATCCCATCTATTTCACGGTATGTCATATCCCACGGTTCCTAGACTTACTCCTAGAGTAAGTCTAGGAACCGTGGTCATATCCCCTCTCTTACATATCTCTGAAGAAAACACTATTTATGCAATCTTCTTTTTTTTATAGAGAAGTGCTGCAGTATTGCTAAGAGCAAGACAAACTGACAAACTGCAACACACAAGAAATGTGCTGGCGGATGCACTTGTATGCAAGCCAAAAAGACGAAGTGAAGTGAAGTATTTGGTTAGGTTAGAGTGCCCGCAATTGCGAAATGCCCCTTTGCTAATACTATATTACAGTTAATACTAAAGTTAATATAATTTTAATTTACTATGGAATATAATGAAAATATTAAGGATTCAAGAAACCAAGAAATATTAACATTTATTAAAGATGAAGGAGATTCTGTAAAAAAATATAACAATATAGAAGTTAAATCTGACCTAGATAAAAGCAGTTATGGACAGAAATTTGTATTAGAGGCGTATTGTTCAGATGATATTAAAATCGAAAACCACCTATTAGAAGAAGATGAATCTAATGAAGTTGAAATAAAAAAAGAACTGGAGGAGCATAGCATTGGTAGGAAATTGTTTTCTCTTCATTTTTAAGTATCTTACATCATGAAAATATTTCACTGAAGTATTGAACAAGATTTGGCAAATAATTAGTTTAGGACAATGAACATTACCTACTGTCACAGTATTGCCATATATTATTTGTATAATGTAGACCTATGTTTAAAATTTAAAAAGTAACTAATTTTTGGTCAATATATTTTGTTATATTATACCTCTTTTGTTTTTCTTAAAGAAAAAGGTTCTTGGGTCCAAGAAAGAAGCATATTGAATTTGGAGTCAATAAGTCTTCTTCGCCTCATATTCTTATGTTACATTCAATAATTCTGTTGTGTATTTAACTTAGCTTTAGATTTTCTAAAATATGCCAGTGTCCTCCTCACATATGTCAATTTCACTTATTTCAAGAAGAATGAATGTCAGCATGTATAAAATTACAGTGGTTTATACTTATATATAATAGAAACTTTCATAAAAGTATTTTTTAATAATTTAAGAAAACCAAGTGATAAAATATTCAAAAAGTTTAGAAATAACAAATATGTCAATCAAATGTAATTAGGTAGATAATAGGCAAATAAGACAATGAAAATGCAAATGAAAAGTTTAAAGATAATTTATATATCTAAACATAATGAATGTATTTACTCATATTCTTCCTCCATTATTTCCCAGCAGGAATTTCACACAAATTGTTTGTATATTGCTTACAAATTGGTTTACGATAATTTGGCTTAAAGCACTTTTCAGATGCAAATAAAAAAAGAATAATGTCTTCCTGCACTAACAATAGTAATGTTTTAATGATATACCTTAAACTTATCCAAATATTAAACAAAAACAAAATTTCTTTGAGATAACAAACAGTGAGGAATACTCTCACATGTAAAGGGCTGTTGCTTCGTTTAAGTATCACAGCATACTAACTGCCAGAAATAGTGTGCAACATTGTCATCTTTTATGAACAATTCTAAATGCATTCCTTGGTGGTTAAGGTTATCATATTAGCTAAGACAATTTCATTGCTTATAAATAGATATTGTGAGTGATTTGCTCATAGATCTTGTAACAGTGAGTTAATATTGTAATGTTTTTTATGAAATACATAAGATATTTTCTGTTAGTTTATATTATGGTCATAATACCTCTAGGCTCTAATAAAAATCTATATTTTGTGTATTTTTTTAAATCTTGTTAGAAGATTAGAATTACTCAGAGACTAAGATGCCACTAAACCTTACCTTTAAAAATCATATGAACAAGCTGAATTTTGGTAAGAATGTTAATTTTGGAACCCCAAACAAGATGCAGAAAAGTTTACCACTTTTACCCTCCGGATTCCCCCTAAAACTCTCCTATGTACGGGAGGAAAAAACGGAATAATCGATTTAACAAGAGTCTTTGCCTCTCAGAAAAAAATGTTTTAAATAAAATATGTAGTTTGGACTATTTTTTAACAAAAATGTTTAACAGCATTTTTTTGTAAAATGAACCAAAAATTTATACCTACTCCACTGTAAAACTTGGGATAACTTTTTAAAAATGCATTTTAAAAATTAAGAAAGTAGTTTATGCAGTATTTGGATTTTGCTGCAAATGAAGTCAGTTTCTATAAAGGTGTTAAATAAATAAATGTCAAGTAATTTTTATCATTTTTTACCATTCTCATAAGATCAATAATATTTATCACTTCCATTGACCAGTTGCTATGGAATTTTTATTATTAGATACCAGTTTTCAAAATATATAGCCTGAAATTTCAGTTTTGAGTTTTGGCAACAAATGTGAGGCATTTGAAATATGCCTTCTTCTTCTTCTTGCAGTACCGTCTCCTATCAGAGGTTAGCTACCATCACAGCAATCTTTACTTTGTTGGCTGCAGCTCTGAACAACTGTATTGAACTGCACCCATACTACTCCCTTAAATTTGGCAACCAGGAAATCCTCCTATGTCCCACATTTCTCTTTCCCGAAATTTTTCCTTAGATTATGAGTCTAAGCAGAGAGTACTTTTCTCCTCTCATTATTCCAGTGGCTCAGATATTCCAGATTTTAGAGCAGAACATCTTGATTTGTTACTCTTTCTGTCCATGGTATTTTTCACATTCTCCTGTAACATCACATCTTGAATGCCTCAATGTTTTTGATGTTTATCTTTTTCAGTGTCCAGGCTTCCATGCCATACAGCAGAACGGAGAAAACATAGCACCTTAACATTCTAGTTCTTAAGTTTATATTTATGTCCTAGCTGCATAGGAACTTTTTCATTTTGACAATCGATTGTCTCGCTATCTCTATTTGCCTCTTGATTTCTCTTGTCTGGTCATTAGTATCAATGAAGCAAACCCCTAAATATTTGTAGGACTTAACTCTTTCAACTGGCTGATTATTTATGGTTGAATTCACATTGGTGTATAGCTTCTTTGTTACAATCATGAATTTAGTCTTTTTGATGTTCAGTTTTAGACCATACTTATTGGTATGTGTGTTTATGCTTTCCATCAAAAACTGTAAATTTGCTAAGTTATCTGTTATTATTAGGCTGTCATCAGCATATCATATATTGTTAATTAACTCTCTGTTAATGTTCATACCAATGTTTTGCTCTAGGACTGCTTCCTGGCATATTGTTGAAATATGCCTAAAAAACCTTAAATTTAAACTTTTACATTACAAACGATCTAAAATGTTTAAAACTGCTTCTTTTTAAGTAAGCAAATACATTTTTCAAACGACACAACTTCAGCTACAAATTCCACCTAACATCGTTTTCATAGAAACATTTAATGTGTAGTGTAATTGTTTGTGAATGTTTAAATTATTTGATTTTTTTTTAAATTCAATATATTGTTGACTACAATGTTATAAGTGAACATTTTGTTACAGTTTTTTTATGACTTTATGTATTTCTTTTATACCTTTTATTTTTGTTCTAGCATATATTTTTCTTTTTGGTAAAAAATAAATTCTTATAATTTGGTTTTTATTTTAGGAGCTCCACAAGATATTACAGTGGAAATTACCAATCCATTCAATGCTCCCACAGTACATTTGAAAACTTATACTGGTGAAAGATCATATAAATGTGAAATTTGTAGTAAGCAGTTTACTCAACTAGGTCATTTAAATAGTCATATCAAAGTTAACACTGGTGAAAATCCTTATAAATGTGAAATGTGTAGTAAGCAGTTTAATCAGCAAAATAATTTAAATTTTCATATGAGAATTCACACTGGAGAAAGACCTTATAAATGTGAAATTTGTAGTAAGCAGTTTACTCAACTAGGTAATTTAAATAGTCATATGAAAGTTCACAGTGGTGAAAAACCTTATAAATGTGAAATTTGTAGTAAGCAGTTTAGTCATCCAAGTAATTTATATAGTCATATAAAAGTTCACATTGGTGAAAAACCTTATAAATGTGAAATTTGTAGTAAACAGTTTACTTACTTACATAATTTAAATACACATATGAAAGTTCACAATGGTGAAAAACCTTATAAATGTGAAATTTGTAGTAAGCAGTTTAGTCATCCAAGTAATTTATATAGTCATATAAAAGTTCACACTGGTGAAAAACCTTATAAATGTGAAATTTGTTGTAAGCAGTTTACTCAAATAGGTCATTTAAATAGTCATATCAAAGTTCACACTGGTGAAAAACCTTATAAATGTGAAATTTGTAGTAAGCAGTTTAATCGGCGAAATAGTTTAAATATTCATATGAGAATTCACACTGGAGAAAGACCTTATAAATGTGAAATTTGTAGTAAGCAGTTTACTCAACTAGGTAATTTAAATAGTCACATGAAAGTTCACAGTGGTGAAAAACCTTATAAATGTGAAATTTGTAGTAAGCAGTTTAGTCATCCAAGTAATTTATATAGTCATATACAAGTTCACACTGGTGAAAAACCGTATAAATGTGAAATTTGTAGTAAGCAGTTTACTCAACTAAATAGTTTAAATTTTCATATGAGAATTCACTCTGGAGAAAGACCATATAAATGTGAAATTTGTAGTAAACAGTTTACTTACCTACATAATTTAAATACACATATGAAAGTTCACAGTGGTGAAAAACATAAATGTGAAATTTGTAGTAAGCAGTTTATTCACCAAAACAGTTTAAATTTTCATATAAGAATTCACACTGGAGAAAGACCTTATAAATGTGAAATTTGTAGTAAGCAGTTTATTCACCAAAATAGTTTAAATTTTCATATGAGAATTCACACTGGAGAAAGTCCTTATAAATGTGAAATTTGTAGCAAGCAGTTTCATGCAAAATGTAATTTAAATAGTCATATGAAAGTTCACAGTGGTGAAAAACCTTATAAATGCGAAATTTGTAGTAAGCAGTTTACGCAGATGAATGGTTTAAATTCTCATATGAGAATTCACACTGGAGAAAGACCTTATAAATGTGAAATTTGTAGTAAGCAGTTTAGTCACCTAAGTAGTTTTAATTATCATATGAGAGTTCACGCTGGTGAAAAACCCTATGAATGTGAAATTTGTAGTAAGTTGTATACTAAACCAAGTGGTTTAAAATATCATATGAGAATTCACACTGGAGAAAGACCTTATAAATGTGAAATTTGTAGTAAGCAGTTTACTCAACTAGGTAATTTAAATAGTCATATAAAAGTTCACATTGGTGAAAAACCTTATAAATGTGAAATTTGTAGTAAACAGTTTACTTACTTACATAATTTAAATACACATATGAAAGTTCACAATGGTGAAAAACCTTATAAATGTGAAATTTGTAGTAAGCAGTTTAGTCATCCAAGTAATTTATATAGTCATATAAAAGTTCACACTGGTGAAAAACCTTATAAATGTGAAATTTGTTGTAAGCAGTTTACTCAAATAGGTCATTTAAATAGTCATATCAAAGTTCACACTGGTGAAAAACCTTATAAATGTGAAATTTGTAGTAAGCAGTTTAATCGGCGAAATAGTTTAAATATTCATATGAGAATTCACACTGGAGAAAGACCTTATAAATGTGAAATTTGTAGTAAGCAGTTTACTCAACTAGGTAATTTAAATAGTCACATGAAAGTTCACAGTGGTGAAAAACCTTATAAATGTGAAATTTGTAGTAAGCAGTTTAGTCATCCAAGTAATTTATATAGTCATATACAAGTTCACACTGGTGAAAAACCGTATAAATGTGAAATTTGTAGTAAGCAGTTTACTCAACTAAATAGTTTAAATTTTCATATGAGAATTCACTCTGGAGAAAGACCATATAAATGTGAAATTTGTAGTAAACAGTTTACTTACCTACATAATTTAAATACACATATGAAAGTTCACAGTGGTGAAAAACATAAATGTGAAATTTGTAGTAAGCAGTTTATTCACCAAAACAGTTTAAATTTTCATATAAGAATTCACACTGGAGAAAGACCTTATAAATGTGAAATTTGTAGTAAGCAGTTTATTCACCAAAATAGTTTAAATTTTCATATGAGAATTCACACTGGAGAAAGTCCTTATAAATGTGAAATTTGTAGCAAGCAGTTTCATGCAAAATGTAATTTAAATAGTCATATGAAAGTTCACAGTGGTGAAAAACCTTATAAATGCGAAATTTGTAGTAAGCAGTTTACGCAGATGAATGGTTTAAATTCTCATATGAGAATTCACACTGGAGAAAGACCTTATAAATGTGAAATTTGTAGTAAGCAGTTTAGTCACCTAAGTAGTTTTAATTATCATATGAGAGTTCACGCTGGTGAAAAACCCTATGAATGTGAAATTTGTAGTAAGTTGTATACTAAACCAAGTGGTTTAAAATATCATATGAGAATTCACACTGGAGAAAGACCTTATAAATGTGAAATTTGTAGTAAGCAGTTTACTCAACTAGGTAATTTAAATAGTCATATGAAAGTTCATGATGATAAAAAAACCTTATAAATGTGAAATTTGTAGTAAGTAGTTTACTCAACTAAATAATTTAAATTTTCATATGAGAATTCACTCTGGAGAAAGGCCATATAAATGTGAAATTTGTAGTAAACAGTTTCATGCAAAATGTAATTTAAATAATCATATGAAAGTTCATACTGTTGAAAAACCTTATAAATGTGAAAGTTGTAGTAAGCAATTTAGTCACCTAAATAATTTAAATAGTCATATAACAGTTCACAGTGATAAAAAACCTTATAAATGTGAAATTTGTAGCAAACAGTACACTGAAATAAATAGTTTTAATTATCATATTGTTCACATTTCACTCTATTAAGCCATTTAAATACTTATAAAAGGAGACTGGAGGCACACAGAAGAAACACCTTATAAATGTGAAATTTTTAGTAAGCAGTTTATTCAGTGAAATAATTTAAATTTTCATATGACAATTCACACTGGAGAAAGACCTTATAAATGTGAAATTTGTAGTAAGCAGTTTACTCAACTAGGTATGAAGGGGTGCCGGTTTTCAACATCCCTTCAGGGAGAGTCTTGAATGATATCAGTGTCTCTTTCAGCGGTTTGCACTTGCTGTAAGTCGAATTGTTCCGCTAGCCTTCGAATACTCAGTAGAGAAACTTAAATGGACTCTCAAAATGTGCTGTAATCTGGCCTGTTGAATGGGTTAATAAAATATACGACTCTCCGAAAATTAATAGGTATATACTGGTAGACAGGGTTCTCGTGAAATAAAGTTGTCAACGCGCATATATAAATTTGAAAGTAGGGTTGAGCCACTTCAAGCAAAGGCATTCGTGCGCCGGACGTTCTACGGGTAGCTGTTCGATATTTTTACAGTGTTGCAGTGTTTCTTTTTATTTTAGTTGTACTTGTTCTATACAAAATTTCTTTTCAGAACTCTGCTAAAATTAAAATTTTAAAGGTAAGAAGATAATTTTTTAATTTATATTATTTATTAATATGTATAATAAGAATCAAATATATATTTTTTGCTGCATATAAATTGTACATTGTGAGATACAATTGTAGCGTTTTCTCTACTCTGCTATTCATTTCTCCTTTTAGAGTTCTTTTATTCCTTTTTGTGCATAATTTTCTTAATCATTTCTTTTATCCTTAATAATTTTGTCCTTATATATTCTAAATACTGTTGGGCTAAGTGCTCCTCCCTGTCTTAACCTCGATGTATTGTAAACGTATGTGATATTGAATTATTACTAATTACGACATTGTTGTTCTCATTGTATATTCTTAGTAGCTTGTTGTTCATTCCTTTTTCTCTTGGTATTTTCCGTAGTTTCTGTCTTGGTACGTTATTGAAGGCTTTTTCTCTTTTGTCGCTTTTTGTGTTATCTGTTTTAAATTAAATATATATGATCCTGTATATTTCTACAACTTCTAAATCCACTTTGTCCTTCGTCTGTGTGTGTTCTAACATTATTCTTAATAGTTTGTTTATTATTTTTTCGAAGAGTTTCATACATGTACATATCAACGTCAATGTAACGCCTATATAAATATTTACTTTGAATGGTTAAATACTTACAAGTAATTAAGTTTTCCAAGTAGGATCTTTTAAAGTGAAAGTATCTTAACTGTATTGTAATGACATCATAATTACTACTGTTTGGTAAATACCTAAATAAATAAATTTGAATCAAATCATTATTTATGGATCTACACGTTATTTGTACCTAACCAAAAAATCATTCCTTTATCCTTTCTTTCGCAATTTACTGTTTCTATCATATATATTGGCAATATCAATAATTTCCTATCATAAATATTGGCAATATCAATAAAGTCATATACTTTAAAATGTTGATATAATATATGGCTGAATTTTTAATATGAATGAGTCGGATAAGTTAAATTATTAGAAGAATTTTTTTACCAAGCAACAAAAACAATGGAAGTCGACAAATAAATTTAATTTCAAACTTAAATTGTGGCTTACTGCCAAATAAAATAGTAAATTGCATAATCTACCACAATCAAATAGCTTCCGAACAATATCATTTTGTTAGGTAGTACGATACTAAAAATTCCCAATATTACTGTGATCATCCACATCTTGACAACATTCCAAACATTTTAAGATCTAGCCAGTGATTATTCAACGTAATTTCACGCGTAAATGTTCGGGTATGTGCATCCTTTTTTGATTTTAAACTTACTCACTATGCGCAGTGCAAGCTCCGCCCATTTCACGGCATCCCTGTCGGCCTGTACCTACGACTGTCGCTAATTCACTGCCCCTAGCCCCTCTGAAATTACCCATCTTTGCATTTTGAAAGATAGGCAGGTCTAAGGTCAAATGGGCGGAGATTAACGTTCTAAGAAATAAGTCGATGCAGACTGTCATAAGGAATTTATTTATGTAACCGATGCGGCGCGGACATATATTTATTTGTTATGAAATAGAATTATGTGTTTGGAGATTATAGTTCTCCAACATTCCCCCCGGCGTTAGAGCCTTGTGGCCTAACCTACTCCTCTTTATCTTACCTAGGGAGAACCGAAATTTTAGAGATTGCCCTTGTAAATTCACCATTGATGGTCTTTAACTTGACCACTCTGACTTTGCCATCTTGACCGGGCATTGTATCAACTACCCGTGCTAGAGGTCATTTTAGAGGAGCTACATCATCCTCTCTCAGAAGAACTAAGTCATTGACTTTTATGTTATTCCTTGGTCGGGACTATTTTGGAGAGTTTTGTAAGCGGTTTAATTAGTCAACTGACCACTTTTTCCAGAAACTTTGTTGTACTTTTGCAATATGCTGAAACACGGATAGTTTATTTTCCGGGATTTTTTCTAAGTTTTGCTTACGATGCGCAGTCAGACTGAAGCCTATTATAAAGTGCCCAGGACTGAGAAAAGTGTAACCAGAAGGGTCGCTGGACACGGCACAGATAGGCCTTGAATTCATATTTGAACCATGACAGTGTAAAACTGTTTGAAAGTGAAAGAAGAAGAGCCTATTAGTCTACGCATATGATATTCAGCGCTTTTTACTGAGGTTTTCCAGATCCCAGCCCAATGATGAGATCTAGGGAGAATAAACTTTCATGAGATTTGATTTTCATACAGGTATTCCACAATGGTTTGAGAATTTGACTTGGTTTGAAAGAATTTTTATAAGTCATAGAGTTGGTTTCTTGTACCAGAAAAACATGTGGCATTGTCACTGTAAATGACGGTTGGTTTACCACGTCGGGAAATGAACCTTCTTCGTCATAGAAGCAGTATAGGCACTATGATTTAATACCAATACCTTGAGTTTGTTTTCAATCCGACGTCGCCCGATATCGGATCGGGAGAAATTCGGTTCCAATGTAGGTGACAGGTGTAGACAAAAACACTTGCACGTCACGATTTATACAAAGTGACGTCACTTGTATTTAAAATTTCCAGAAGATCAACCTTAGAGTTCAAATTTTCCTAACACAGCTAATAATCCGAAACCCATACGGAACTGCTCGATCTTTCATAGGCGTCAACATGGTGTAATAATCAGAAAAATCTAATCATCGTTATATTGTAAATTTTAGAATTATATTGATTAAATAAATAATCAAAAGCATTTATTATTATCAATAATATAAATTTTATGCAACTGATACGGAAATATATAAAATATTATTGACAGTTCAGCGGGTGGCAAAAGTGTATAAAGTGTTGCCGGTTTTTTAGAGTAGAAATTTTGTTATGTTTTGATTTCTTACACAATTTGATCTTTATATGAAATATATGAATGAAATGATATGAAATATGAAAGCTGATCAGCTTTCTACAGACTATTTATTTGTTTTGGCATATCACAATACACAACAATAATTAGTTTTTAAAGCTATTAATCTAAATTTAAAATGTATTTATAAATACAATTTATTAATATATATTATATTATAATTAAATTGTGTAGTAAATCAAAACAAACCAAATTTCTACTATAAAAAAGCGGCAACACTTAAATACACTTTTGCTACCCGTTGAACTGTCAATAATTCGCTCCGAGTGTTAACAAAGTGCCAAAGCAAAATCGACTGACCTGCTCATGGTGGCGATTGCTTGAAATTTTATCAGGACGCTTTTGTCCATGGTACAATGAACATATTCATTGTACGATTGGTTGATCATAGATTCTAACTCGATGCATTTAGTAAATGCAGAAATATCGTTTGTGTCATATCCCCTCTCTTACATATCTCTGTATAAACGTCATGTCAAATTTGTGTTTTCGGTGTTGCCATATCACAAATAAATCACGAAAGAGCATGCGATATAATATTAATTAATGTTACTAAACATTCTTTTTAAGTTTTTAAAAGAAGTTTAATTAATTTAAAGATAATTTATTATAATTTAAATTAACTTTAATTTTTTTAAGCTTTTACTCAGATACCATTCCATCCCAAAATTATAAGAAAAAATTCATAAAATTGAAATCCGCTAAACATCTGTCGCAATCTGGCAACTACTTTTGACAGTATTGCCAAGTTTATTTACTAATCTACCAAAGGCCAATTATAATTTTTTTTCTAATAACTCACTGCAACTAATATCAAAAGAAACAAATATTTATTCGTTCGTGTTTCATATGCATTTAAATTTTTTTTAAAAATATCCGACTTTATAAAATAATATAATAAAAATGAATTAAAAATTGTTTAAAATCCTTTATAAATATAAAAATGCCCCAAACGGGCTATCACAAACACATTGCAAAACGTTTTCGGATTAATCAATCCATCATCAGTGCAAACGGTTGTACATGCTAGTAGCCACCAAAATATATAGGTCAAAACCCTTTAAATGTTTTAAAGGATTTTTAACAATTTTTTGTGATATATGGTATACAGCCAGCTACAGGAACTTAGTTTCCTCGTGGAAAAATAAATTGTTTCAAAGCATATTTGAGACATAAAACATAATAAAGACATGGCAATACCGCAAACACAAATTTGACATGACGTTTATGTCAAATTCATCGGCACTTTATTTACTATTAATTTTAGAGTTATTTTTATAATTTAAACATTTTTAAATTTATCAAACGGGTTAAATAGATGGATTGAAGTAATTTTGTGACATTGTATCTTAGCACAGAATAATAAACAATGCGCAAGTCTGCACAGAATAGTGGGTCAAACTCTAGACACTAGTGTGCTAGTGGGTTGACGGCAACCTAATTTGTTAAAAATAGAAGAAATCGAATATTTATAACTATCTTCACTCTATTTCAGTTTTCATCATGGACGATGACATATACGATATGGAATTTTGAAGTCCATTGACTTAAATTGTTTTATTTGTGTTACCCCCGACTATTGCGTTTGATTAATTGTTAATAATAATGGATTTTGGCCAGCTACTACATACAGCACAGAAAAATGAAAAATCAAAGGATCAGAGGGTAATGGAAACATTCTTAAAATCCAATTATCATTCTAGAATATTTACCATATTTACTAGATTTTAAGTTTTATTTTAATGTTGTGTTTTTAGGTCAGATACTATAGTACCAAATTTGAACCTCCCAAAAAAGAAAAGAAATCCGAAAGACAACTTTCTGATAATATAAAAAAATTTTTGGCCAAGAAGGAGGCTGAAGAAAAACAAAAAGCTGAGGAAGCCAGAAAAAAGCGAGATGAATTGCTTGCTCTTCGATCTCAGGTTAGTAATATAAATTATTAGTTGTTTTAAATATCCTGGTTTCTATAAGATTTTTGTACTTTACAGACTTAAAAGTTTATTTACTATGAGTTTCTATATTTTTTATATTATAAATGTAAGTTCTACAGTGTGATTAAGTACTTTTAGAGTGGGTATGCCCTTAATGAAAAGTTTAAAAAGAGTTTTATTCAGAGAAAAAGTCATCCTTAACTATTCAGTAGATGTCCTAGAAGTTATTTTCAAATGTAGCCTAATGTAGCTTTAGTTGGTTTTAAATTCAAGAGTTGGTACTTTGTCTACATGATTTTTGTCTTTTATGATATTTTGAACTTTGATTCGGAAAAATATTCACCCAACTTGTTTTTATTCTTCTTATTTAGTTCTTATATAGTATTCTTATGTACTTTAAGCCTATTAGTAAATTATTGTTTCTTCATATGCCATTATTTTCTTATCCTTTATGATATTTGAACATGGGTTTGGATTTGGAATAATTTCCTTTAGCTCAAATTTTTAATTCAATGTGTAATATCAGGTTAAGTGAAATACCAGAGGAGCTTGTATTAGCATCTAAAAGTATGCATTTTGGTGTGGCTTCTTTTGACCACAGATGATGTTGTGATTATCAATCCAACACCCTTGAAAGGATAATAAGCCATTGACAAGATACTAGTAACTGAATTGTAATTATAGAACACATCACTACTGTAGATGTAATAGGTCTATGACCTGAATATTCTCGCTAGAAATCTATCCTAAAATGTAGTTGTGTTAAATCAGAAGAGGCTGAGAAAGAAGCAGGACTAGTAATTACAGTAGAAAAATAATTTTGGAAAATATATCTAAGAGCTGTATCACTGTTAAAAACAATCTAAGCCAAGAGATACTATCTTGATTACTCTATACATAAGATTATACAAAAAACCACTGTGACATGGACTCTGAACTTCTCTAAGAAGGATTTAAGTTGGGAGATACTGTCTAAGATTAATACAGGAGAACACTGTCACATAAGACTACACTTCTGGTACAATTCTTTTAATGGAAAATTGTGTTTCTTAAGCTGTGTAAATTTATCTTTTTGATATTTTTGATAATTTATATTTAAGATATATTATTAATATAATAATAGGGCTTCTCCGACCCCAATTTCCATCTTTTTCTGTTATATGCAGTTGCCTCTTCTAAGTCTCTTGCCGCCATTGCTTCATCAATATCGTTGCACCAACTTTTCTGTGGCCGTCCTCTCTTTCTTCTTTCAGGAGGGATCCATTCCGGTACTCTTCTAGGTCATCTATATTCTAGCATTCTTTTAACATGTATGAACCAGATTAATTGTTTTCTTTCTATGTCATTGATATTTTGCTCCATTTTCATTTCGTTTCTTATTTGTTCGTTTCTAACTCTCTCCAGTTTCGATCTACCGCAGCTTTGTCTCAGATAATGCATTTCTGTCGTCATAAGTTTGTTTTTATTAGCTTTGTTGACATCCCATACTTCCGAACCGTAAAGTGTAATACTTTGGACTATACTACCATAAGGTAATGAATCAGTAGTGGTCAGTGTTAAGGATGGAAATAAAACAAAAATATATTTTTGGCGCCTACTTTTAAGTTATAATTCCAACTAAAATTTTAATAAACGCTTGAGATGTGTATTTTTTACAATTAATTTTTTCTGTCTTGAAGTTTTAAAAATAAGAAACAAAAAAATATCTCAGGTATAGTTATGCAAAAAATCAGTAGTTGTCAGTGCAATAAAACAAAATATCAGTTGTTGTCATGCAAAAAAATCAGTGATGGTCACAAACATACTTCAGCCACATTTAGCCATCTACATCTATGGGAGTTTTGAATTCATACCGAACTCTGTCTCCTAAGGTATTTAGAGTAGGAGTAGAAAGACGACTTATAATTTGATTTAAATTAATTACACTAACATTTTTTTCATTCAATTTAAACAATGTTTTTAGGTCATTGCAACAGTTCATCGCAACCACATCATACTCAGTTTTTTCATAAATGTCATGTATTATACACGCATATTTATGAAACTTCTTCTTACCAGGAAATTGTACTAACACGAAATCTCCCTTCTTATATATTCACCGGTTCAAGTCACTCTTAACATCATTTTCTTCCAGTATAGTTTCTTTTTCCATGTACCCCTCAAAGTCACTTACTATATCTACTACTAGATTATACTACTACTAGATTCGACCCACTCTTCCTCAATTTCAGAGTCAGATCATTCTTTCTGACACTTCTTTTTGGTCCTCCTTAAAACCCTTTTATTTTCTTTTTCTTGCAGTTTCAACTGTTTTGCTTTTTCTTTCTCTTCTTTCACCTTTGCTCTTTGTTCAGCTCTTAATCTTTTTGTTCTTGCTAGTTCCAATTTTTCCTTTTCTTTTCTTAAATGGTATTCTTGCCACTGTCTAGATAGTGCAACAAATGGAATCTCCTCTTTTTTCGTCTTTTATTTCCTGTATCCTTTATTTCAGGCCAATGCAATGCTCGTTTGAAAGGAGTTGGGATTGTCTGACCATCTATGATTAATTTCTTTTTAACAACTTCAACTTTTACACGCTGAACGCCAGACTTTTCAATTGGTGAGCTATTTATATTCCTTGTGAGCTTGTCGGTTGGAGTACATAGATCTGCAATGGCAAATGTAGACACCCGATTAATATTTGAAGGTCCTGGCTGCAGCTCACGTACAGAAATATCAATTAAAGGAGTGGTTTTTGTTTTGAGGTCCTCGGGTTTAGGATTTTGTGATGTTGCTGCAGGGGCATCGGAAACAACTGATACGTTACTTTCTTCCCTGCTTTCCCTATTTAGTTCTGTACAAGTGTTTAATACCTTCCTGTAAAATTCAAAAAGTGCTAGAAATTTATTTTCTCCTGTCCATTCATCATTGCTTTCTTTAAAATCAGTTAACAACTTTGCGTCAAGATGTTTTTCTACAAAGGCCAAGCCATCTTTGAATTCTTGTTTAGTTTTATCAGAATTGTGAACTTCAAGAATTGGTAAGTTATCAGTTTTTTCTTCTTTTGAAAATCGAATAGCCTCAAAATTCCATGGTAAAAGACCACATCTTCGAAATCCATTTTTCAAAATCTCTTTAGTAATCCTTTCTTGAAGGACTTGTTCAAGTAAAGGACAAAAGTTTCTTTTCCGTAAAACTGGATTCTCAAGGTGTTCATTTCGCCACTGGTGCACCTTTTGCTTCCACCCTTCCTTGAGTGTTGTAAATACTGCGACATCCATGGGTTGTAGGAGTTGGGTAGCACTCGGATATAATGCGATCAAAATTATACCGTTTTCATCAAAAAAATTGCTTGTATGGTAGGTTAGATGGGAGATGTGACCATCGATAAACAAGTTACTGACAAAACAATCTTTCTCGAATTAACCATGGGTGAAATAGATTAATGGTGATAACCTACGTTCTGAAAGGACATGCTGCATGAAGAAGAAGAAACTTGACAAAACTGACTGGATATGATTTTTTGTAATCAAGTTGGTTTTATATTAGGAAAAAAAGTGTGTCTGTTGTATATGTTGTGCAGTGTATCTTTTATAGTAACTTCTAAACAGAACAGCAAATATAACAATATATTTACCTATCTTTAGAATAACTGTCACCAATGACTGCAAAACATTAAATTGGGAAAGTGAATACAGTAATACTGAATAAGACATATTGCACATATGTGTTACACAAGAGTGGTGAAGTGGGCTTACAGAAGGAAGAATACTTCTTGGAAGAAGGTAGTTACATAATATGTAGCTTGAAAAAACAAAAAACAAATTTCAATTTTTATTTTCCAAACTTACTGTAGTTTCACTATTGTAAGGATATCATTAAAAAATATATTAAAGGTGCTTTTATATATTTCTGTCATTCTAAAAGTTTAAACTTTAAAACCAGTGTCCAATCTAATTACATATAAGGTAAAAGGACTGGAATAATAGGAAACTTACTCCATCTAATTGATTTGTCACAATTTTCACTTTTGATTTAGCATTTCTTTTACCATTTTCTTTTTCAATACCCACAGAAAAACGCCTTGGAGTAAAAATCCTCAGATTAATAAATACCAATTGAAACCTTTGTTCCTTTATTTCTATATTTTTCCATTATTTGCCTTGTAATAAAAATTGTGTATGGCAAATCCTAACTGATTTTTTGATAATAACATCTTTATCAACGCCTGTTTTGCCTTGAAATTCTTAGAAGGCAAAGATTAAAACAAAAATCTGAATTTGGTTTCGAAAATTAGTTTACAGATTTTAATATCAGATGTCGCTATTTGCGTCCATTCGAAGCCATGTTAGAGTTGCTTCCTAAGACAGAAGAGATTTAGATTTATTTTCACTTTCAGAGTGACTATGAATTGCCGTTCTGACGAGGCCTATTAGGCCGAAATACCTATAAGTGGCTACATAGACGCTCTATACGTGAAATTAAATAAATTTATATTAGGTTTCATATTACATTTGTTTTTATTCAAAGGCATTGTTTTTGTAACGATATTAAATCAATATCTTACAAAAAAATAGTAGCTTTTGATATAGATTTATACTAATTAAATAAACATTGTTTACAGGACAAGAAGGCAACCAAACGTGTCAATGTAATGCTTAAAAGGACCAAATCTGCCAATCAATCTGTTATTGAAGATGCCATTGACAATGATAACACTGCTGTCACCCTTGCTGGCCCCATGCAACCTGACGAAGATGATTATGGTTACGTGTCTCAAGAGGCAGCACAGTATTATACTAAAATGATGGAAAAGTATAGTAAAATGCCAGAAGAACCACCCAAATTTGACATGTCCAAGAAAAGTGTTAGTACTAATTTAGGAAGTACTAAAGATAGAGTAAAAGCTGCCTTAGACAGAGAAAGGGAGGAAGCCTTATTGCCACACAAAAGGAAAAGAAAGCATAAGGTAATTATGTAAATTATTATGTATACACTATGGGAAATAATTTAAGATATGTATACTGGGTGGTGAATCATCAAACGGGCCATAGGAAATTCAATGGGAAATTCTAAATTGTTGAATTCCTGCTTCTCTAATTATTTTACATCAAAAGTCATAAGAAACTATTTGTAGAGGACTTAAAATATGTATTTCAAACAAATGTTAAAATTGTTCTATGATTTAAATGTATTCCAAAATTTTGTAAAAATTTAATACATTTTTCAGGCCACCCCTTAAAGTCAGGCCACACGAGGGTCAAGAATGTGTATGTTGCGTTTAGTCATTTAGATGATTCTGATATTTGACAATATTTGAATTGTTAATATTTTTATTTTGTAATTAAATTATACACAAATACTACAATACGCAAATTTTCACAAATACTACTACTACTACTAGTAAACAATAAATAGTACTTTGTAAACAATAAATTATATTGTTTACAAAGCAATAAAATTGATGAAATGTATTCAGTTCACAAAAAATCGCAATAATGTTGTATTCAGGCAATAGTGCGCGCACTGCCAGATCTTTATTTAACACAAGATATCATAATACTATTGTTTAAGTAAGAAACTTCTTTCTTTTTTAAAACAATGATAATACACTCCGATTCAATTCCAGGTTATATAACAATTCAAAGAAATTTTGCTTTTTTTGTCGACCAAATCCTATAATTTTGGACATTTAGTTCATTCTTTAATGTAAATGTACATTCATAACTGAACAAAATGTTTTTTAAAAATTGTCTGTTAGCATAAGCCCTCTCAAAGATTTCATAACAAAATTCCGCCCGTCGCTCAGCATCTCCGCTTAGTTCTTGATGACATTGAAATTTATATGAACGGAATTCATTCCTTTTCAAAACTTTTAAGGCCGTAGAATTATGAATATTAAACTGGTCTGCAATGGTTCTAGAACTTAGTCTAGGATTTTCTACAACTGCTGTTAATATATTTATTTTATTTTGATTTTCTAAATTTTTTGATACCTCAGCAATATTGTTTGTACAGGTACAATTAGAAATCACGATCCCAATATTTTCAAAATTTTGTACAGTCCTTTGAATTGTTAAATTGGACTTGGACTTGGTCTATTGGGATATCTTACGCTAAATAAAGAACTGACAATTCGCGCACTATTGCTTGAATAAAACATTTTTATTATTGCTACTTTCTCCTCAACTGAATACATTTTTTAATCAACCATATTGTTTTTAAACAATAAATCACAAAATGTTGGCAATTCAAATATTGTCAAATATCAGAAACATCAATATGACCAAACGCAACATGTCATACACATTCGTGTACCTCGTGTGGCCTGACAAGGGGGGCCTGAAAAATGTATTATATTTTTACAAAATTTTGGAATACATTTAATTTGTAGAACAAATTTAACAATTGTTTTTAATACATATTTCAGTCTTCTACAAATAGTTTCTTATGACTTTTGATGTAAAATAATTAGAGAAGCAGGAATTCACCAATTTATAATTTCTCATTGGGTTTCCTATGGCCCGTTTGACGATTCACCACCCTGTATGTTTTTCAATGGGAGGAACTGAGAGAACCATATTTAAAACGATATAGCTATATATACATATAAACGAAGACAAATAAACAAACAAATATAATATACAAACAAATTTGTTAAAAGGAAAAAACTTAAAATAAAAACAAGTATACTACACTATTCAGTTAATTTGAACTAAACTTCTTGCAGTATATCATCAGCTTCTTTATTGAAGAAATTTTTTATATTCATAGTTTTAATCAGTATTTCTGACGGTGTAAAATTGATACAACCCTTTTAAAGATAAACTTGGGACGAATGCACAATGTCATATAAAGTGTCCGTTACCAAGCAGTTCTTGTACTTTATTAAATTTACTTTTGAAAATTGTCTTTCACAACTTGCATTTGAATGAGGTAAACTTAACACAGACAATACAAAGTCACTCAAATTAACAAATAGAGAATTACCGTCAAAATATTTAATTTGACCCACTTTAAAATATAATTTACCCAAATATTCGAATTCTAGTGGAATACCCTGGTATTGTTGAAGTTTCCTCTATTCTTCATCGATCTTCTGCATCATTTGTAGGTCTTTATGATTACAAATTCGGGCCAATTTTGATATTCGTGGTAAAAGATTTGCAAAATCATTTCTGTTTGTACTTGTATACAAGCTGTAATGAAGAAATTCCAGCAACTTTCAAAAAATCCTGTATCAATTCATGATCTAAATCATTAATATTTTGCATCATCCCAATTCCTAGATAAACTAAAAGCCATGTATGAAGACCGGTAACTACAGTAAATTCTACTTCAAGCTAGGGACGATGTAAACAAATGCACCTGGAAACACGCGTTTGTTCAGGGTCGGACTAGTAAATAAAAGATACAGTATGAAACAGACAAACTTTGACATATTTATACAGATTATAGTACACCAATTTTTTAAATATAAAAATGATTTACAAGATCTAGAGCTATTAAGCACAAAATATAGTATGTATGCAGAAAAAAGAAAGTTTATAAAATTACCGTATTTGTGTTATTAACTTTCAGAATCGAATGTACTGTTGTCATTATTAATTTTAATAATGAGAGCCTTAATTTGGGCTTCAATTAAATTGTCCAACTCCCACATTTTTGGCTCTACTTCTTTTTTTACATGCCTGACGCAGTTTTTCATGGTTACAGCAGATATCATCATCATCCAGCCTTCCTTTATCATTTATCACGTCCACTGCTGGACATAGGCCTTCCTTAAGCACTTCAATAATTCTTTGCGATTTTGTGCTCTTTGTTGCCAATTTTTCGTGATACGCCTGATGTCGTCAGCCCAAAGTGTAGGTGGCCGTCCTCTACTACGTTTGTCTGCTCTTCACCTCCAATGTGTAATTTTACTCGTCGATCATGAGAGTCGTGCATTCTCGCTATATGGCCTGCCCAATTCCATTTAAGTTCCGCTATGCGTTCCACAACATCAGCAATACTCAACCTTCTTCGCAGATCTTCGTTTCTTATTCGGTCCCGCAACGTCACTCCCACCATAGATCGTTCCATTCGTCTCTGTGCCACTCTCAATTTCGAAGCCGTAGTCTTGGTTAGAGTCATAGTTTCCGCCCTATAGGTCATGAGCGGTAATACGCATTGAGGCCAATTGGTATGTTGGCCCTAAGTGTGTCTCGTAGTTTTCCAAAGGCTTCCCACGCTAAAGTAATTCGTCTTTGGATTTCGCATGTTTGGTTATCCCTGCCGATTCTTGTTTCGTGACCCAAATACGTATATTTCTCCACCAGTTCAACCACTTTGTTTTGAATAATTAAATAGTTATTGGGGCCCATATTTGTCATAAACTTAGTTTTGGACAAGTTCTGAGACTGTGGCTTCTCCTACATCATCTGGGATAAGGACAATGTTAAAACGGAGATGGTTAAGTTTTTCGCCGTCTATTGTTACTCCTCTGTGGTCCCAATTGGCCATCTTAAAGGCATAGTCTAATGCCGTTATGAATAATTTCGGTGACAATGTATCTTCTTGCCTTATCCCACGTTTTATTTTTATTGGTCGAGTGTTATCGTGTATCTTAGCAGTCATAGTGGGGTTTTTGTAAATATTGTAAATAAGTTCACTATATCTATGGTCAATCCTGCTGTCATTCATTGCTTCTATAAGGCTGCCTATTACGATCGTGTCGAATGTTTTATGAAAATCTATGAAAGTGAGGACAAGAGGTTTATTGTATTCTATAGATTTTTCAATGAGCGTCTTTACTGTAGGTGATCATTGGTACCATAATTTGATCAGTATCCTGCCTGCGCTCCGCTTGGTAGAAATCTAATTTTCTCTCCAATCTTGATGTCACTACCCTAGTGAAGATCTTGTATATGTGGTTCAACAGGCTAATAGATCTATAATTCTCTGTCCCTTCTATTTCCTTTTTATGTAAAAGGATGGTTATAGCATTGTTCCATTCTTTGGGCACCTCTTTTTGCTGCAAAGATAGATCAAATAGTTTCCTTAATTGATTTAATAGCATATTTCCTCCATTTACGATAGCTTCTATTACAATTCTATACTGTCCTGGGGCTTTGTTAATTTTCATTTTTTTAATGCTTGTCGAATCTCATTTATTTGTGACATTAGTTCGGAACCTTGATTCATGATTTTCTTTGAAATGGCTGTTTGTATTTCTGTTTGATCTTCTCGTCAACTTCCATATAATTCATCGTAGAACTCTTCTACGACCTGTATTAACTCGTCTCTACATGATATTATTTCATTTTGCTTGTTTCTTAATTTATGAATTTCGGATTTCCAATTTGTGAACTTTCTACGTAGAACTTTTAAGCTGTTATTTTTCTTTGTAGTACGTCTAATATTATCGGTTTTAAATTTTCTTAAACCTCTCCTGATTGTCTGAGAAACAGTTTTATTCATTTCTTTTAGAGTGTGGCTGTCTGCATTCTCATGGCTATTCATTTGTCTTCTTTGAACTACAAGTAAAACCTCCGTTAACCGAAATAATTGGGGGGGAGGCAGTTTCGGATAACAAGAATTTCGGTTAAAAATAACATTGTTTTTTATAGTATTCTTGGTCAAAGTATTGGTATTAAACAATACTCTGAGGTAATTTCGTAATGTTTTCTAATAAGTAAATACAGAATAAAGTAATAAAATTAAGAAGAATGAACAAGTTTAACATGCTTATTTAAAGAAACTTTCTATTTTCTTTTGCGTTATCGTTTGGCAACGATGTTTTGCAAGTATATATCTCCATCGTTCATTTGCAGAACGTCGTGAGTTTGCCTTACTCCATCTGAAAAGGACAAAGCTTTATACAATGACAACAAAAATTAAGAACCCAGTCGTGTCCCTAGCTAATTAGGTCTACTGTATAAAATTCTTATCCTTAAGGCATTGAAAATCTCGTCGGCGGTCTTATGCTGT